GGGAAGGGAGGTGCCGCCGCCGGGCTCGGAGGAATGCGGGATGCCGGGGAAGCGCTCCCGCTGCCCGGGGCCGGAGCGGCTGGAGCTGCTGTTTCCCACGAGTGCCCTCTCCTGGAAAAGGCTCCTCTCCACGCGTGCCCGCCCCGGACACAAGGACGGAGGATGCCGAGCTTTAAGAGAGGCGATGTTTCCCGTCTCCTCCCCGTTCCCCCCGGCCCGTGCGCGCACAGCTCGGTGCCAGAAATCCTGCCGGTGGTACTTCTCTCCAGACGAACCCTTACATTTATTTTGGGGCATAATTAATCCTTCTGGCGTGCCAGCTTTCTCCTGCCAATGGAGCCCTGTTTCGGAAGGGTTGCCCTTGCCCATGAGCTGTCAGCTGGGTGATGGCCAACAAACTTTGTCCTTCTGTCAGACATCCAGCACGCCTTGAGTATCCTAAAGGGTTAGGGACACCTGCATTCCACATTCCTGGGTGTTCTATTTGGAATAGATCCCTGCATTTCCCAAAGACTGGATTTAAAGGCTGAAAGCAGCTGCAGCGAAGCTGGCCCGCAGCCCTGCGGTGTTTCTCACAGCCCTGAGGATGTTCCTCATCCTCCTCTGAAAACGAAGCTCTGAGATGCAGCACTGCTCCTGGAGCTGTTTTCATATGGATGAGGACTGGGATAGTCTTTGCCGCTCTTCCCTGAAAGAGCCTCTCCCTCCCACCTGTGTCACCAAAGCATTCCAGGCCGGTGAATTCTTTAAAAAAAAACCCTTTTCTTTGAGGCTGGGGCATTAGCGCCTTTACCACGGGTCCATCAATAGTTATTCCTACAAGCAATTAAAGCAGCCGGTGAACCGGTGGCTGCTCAGGAGACAAAGGTCCTTCCCACCACGACATCCCGGCAGATGAGCCAGTTAAGAGGAACTCAGACCAATTTATTTCTTGATAGATAATGATGCGAGTTCTCAGCAGGGATCTGTAATTTTCTGTTGATGAAAATCTGCCTTTTCTGATTTGCAGGGTTATCTGTCTTTCTCAACTTCAGGCTCTTGCCAAACTCGCAGGCAGCCCTGTGAAAGTGCTGTGTCCCACAAGAGCCATGTATTTTAATATGATGTAGTTTTCTTTGCCCTGGAACCAGGATCAGTTCTCCATGCTGACAATCCATAAAAGACCTAATGACCCATCTGAGGAACATTAACCAGCACTGTGGCCATTCCAGGCAGAGTGTTTGTTTGTTTTTTGCCCCCCTGCTTGGGAGTGTGATTTCTGGAGAGGATCTTTGGGGATGAGTTGGATCTTCAGAGATCTTTTAGTGTTGAATAACTAAAAATCAGGCTAAAGGGTGGCTTAGACTTTAAATTTAAAATACTTATTTATCAAGCCAAGCTTAGTTAAGAGTTACAGTGGGCTCCAGCAGGGTCAGCAGTCTGCAACAGCCTCTACATACCCTAAAAAGTGATTTTTTTCAAGCAGAAACACATTATTGCTTTTGCCAAGAGCTTGCAAAAGTGACTGCTAATTTAAAGGAATTTTTGTCTTCTAACTTAATTGTCTCTACTTACAATTTAGTGTCTTATAAAAGAGAACTATTTATACCCTACTGTATTTCATGATCTATAGTTAACATTTGTGTTTAGCTGGGAATTACGAGCATTTGGTCTCTGAGAAACAGTTGAAAATATTTAAATGCCAAAGGAATCTTCTGAGGTCAGAGCCTTTCTGCACTGCTGGGTGTGGAGGTGGGACAGAGAGGATCTCCACCATCACCACCACCAGTGCAGAGGGGAGGGCCGAATTTGCAGGGGAAGGTTTCATCCTGGCCACCCCACCCACAGCCAAGGTGCTTTCTGAACTCTTTTTTCCTCCCGGATCATTTTTGGCTGCTGCCAAAGGGGTTTGCCATCACAAAGGTTTCTCACTGGCAGCTTCAAGTGGTGGTCAGGGTGTTGAAGCCCCAGGTCCGAGGAGGTTGTCTCACTTGTGATCATCTTCCCAAGGCTCTTGGCATTTCACAGCCAGCACCAAGACAAAAGGTTTTTGCATCAATCCCCCAAGATCTTCCCTCACTGCCTCTGAAAAAAGGCTTAAAATCTGTTTGTTCAGGTGCTTGTGACTCCTCCAGCCTTCAAGGGTCCTGGTAGACACTGAAGATCTTCCCTTTTCAATTTTCCCTTTTATTCCACTTCTTTTTTTTTTTTTTTACTTTTTTTTTTTTTTTTTTTTTTTTTTTACCCTTGAAGTGCCCTAATTATACAGAGCATTGATTTTACAATGCATTCATGGATTGATTGTACTGCCATGCTCCTCCCACAGGAAACAGCTTGCACACAAGCACTTTTTGATCTCTCCAAAGTATTCCCTAAGGTGAATCAATGGCTCTTGCATCTTGTCTCTTGCTTTAGTCTAGGGGAAGCTGGAGATGTCTTGCTACTGAAATGAGCTTCAAGAAAAATATTGGAAGGCAGAAAAAGAGAAGGAGAATGATTCACTTCTTCCTGCCCAAAAAAGATTGTCTCATGTACGGCAAAATATGTTCTTGTTAGCATAATGTTCACATCCAGCTCAGCCAACTGCAATCTTGGAGAAGGCATGGGAACTTCCATATAATTATCTTTAATAAACTGGCCAAGATAGAAGTAATGATATCTAAAGACACACAGTGCATAATAAAATATATATCTGTATAAAAGCCTATCTATATCTATGAAATGACATGCTAAAATGAGGAGAAAGAGGTAATTTATGTGTTTTATGGCTTTGGCACCTCTTTAACAGAGATCTTGGATATAACACTGT